CTGCTTTGGTAAACAAAGGAACCAGCATCTACCCAATAAACTAATGGCTTACTGAAACAAACCAGACAAAAAAGTTACAAAAAAAACTCAAACCTTTTGGGGCCAGCCTGCACTGTGGTTGTTTATCCATCAGTACCGACAGCAGCTTGACAGTTTCACACTGACCTCGACACAGTGATTAAGTACACCCGAGAAAGGACTCCACTTGGTGAAATCCAGTCTGCACCATAAACCTCCAGAGAGTCATTCCTGAATATTGCAGAGCGCAAACAGAAGACACAGGCGGTCAGGGAGGCACAATTTATGAAGGTCAATTACTTCAAACCAACAGCATCTAGTTTATACCTACAGAAAGACACAGTTTTTAGCCGTATTAAAACAACTGCAATGTCAAGCTCAACATAAAAACGAATATTTGGCGTCTTTTCCCACATACAAATTGAAATAACATGGATATTTCTTTCCTTCGATTTTTAGGGGGAGCCTGCATTTTTTAGAAGCAGGAATGGAAGAATTTGACCGAGAAACAAGTGACCACACTGACAACATGCATTAGGGCGCCCTTATTAAATTCTGTGGTTCTCATTTCTTTTACCACTTGAGATATTAAAGTCCGTCGGTCGAAAAAACAAATAGTAAGTGGAAGAAAGGTTGAATGGGTATTGTGGACCATTGTTTTGCATTTTTGTGCTAGGATGGTGTTTTCATGACTGTGGAAAACAGGGCCGGGGAGGGAATTAAATAATGTTAGAATTGGGAAAATTAGTCAGTCTAAGCCGAGCTGCCGAGGAGTTCAGATTGGATCGACTGACACAACTTTGGTACCGGGATTTAGTTAATGTGTAGACGATTGTGACTGAATTGTTAGTTTATCTTGGATTGTACACAAGGATTGGGTACTGACGGGACGTTTGTAACTAATTCATGTGAGTACATGAACCAGTACTGTACCTTTACTAATTTTATGACAGTGTATCTCGGCAGGGCGAGGGGGTGCACGATGGGTCCTCATGCCCCCTCCTTGCCGTTTGTAAATGTTCAGCATTACTTCGTTAGGGTACCTCACGCGTTGAGGAAGTGAGTGGAAGTGAATAAACCAGCTAGAAGCAGGCGGTATTACACGTACATGTATCTTTGCCGGGCGTGCCATTTCGTTCAGCGTCCCTTGTCCTTACTGCAACTGGCGGTATATTTCCACCCAAACGGATCCAGGACCTGGCCAAATCACGCGCGAGCGGCGCAGCGACCGGGCTGAGTGGCCGGGCGAGCCAAGGGTTCACTGACTACGGAGGAGAAACCGCCACACAATGCTCACCACTGTTTACCAAGTTTTTACATGCTTTAATCGTTAGCTTGGTCCTTTGGATTTAACCCCAAAGGTATCAAAGACTGAATTTTATCGTACCATTGAAAGATGGATGTATTTTTTCTTCTGTAGCATCCCAAAATCATTGATGATCACAGTTAAGTATCATATAAGGAGCAGTTTACTGTAAATGGTTTCTCAAAATAAAATGAGGGCATGTTTCAAAGATTCCAAATCTGTGAAATATAGATTACTCATATACTCTGCACTCATCGTAAAATTGCGGAAAGCGGCTAATCATAATGATAACTGTTACCATTCAAAATGTATTTGAGGGAAAGAGGAAAGTTGTAGAAGTCTACGTAGGCTTCAAGATGTGCCTGGTGTTTAAAGTCTTTCTGAAAAGACACAGATTTTATTCTTACTGAAAGGTAGAATACCAATGTGGCTGTTTTATCCTACTCGTAATCACCACTTTGCTTAAAAAAGGGTGGGCATTTTGTCATCAAACAAACGTGTCAGTAAAACACACAGTAGGTTTACATTTTAATCTTCAATTACATACATCACATTAAAAATGTTGGTTGTTTGCAAGGGACCTTCAACTGACCTTGTAACACGAATGATATGTGTGACATGCGGGTTGCATAATTTTATTAACATCTTTCACAATAACTTTTTTTTACAGTTCTTCAGGAATTTTTCAAGACTTTTGTATACTAATCGGTAAGTTGAGGCATATATTTGTTCAAATTTTGTCCATTTTCCATCATAAACAATATCCAGTAAAATGGAGTTTATAATATTCTATATACTAATTACTCGCCGCATTAAGATTGAAGGGAAAATTGCCCAAACCGTTCATTGTTACAGAATCACAAAAATACTTCGAGCATAATTTTCAAGTTTTACAAAATGTTTCAAAATATTACATTTTTACAAAACTGTTGTAACAATAAAGAGAATTTATTTGACATCTCACTTCCTTTTTGTTTATTGTTCCAGTTATACCATTGAATTAGCATTCCTACTTTCCTACTAAATGCACCATCTACCAATCATGTAATTATTGTGATTCATTTAAAAGGCTTTTGAAAATTGAAATCACATGTCCATTAACTAAATATTTGTTGCGAGAACATAACCAGTTATACATCAAGGTATGTTTAACATACCTTGATAACACTGCATGGTGGTCTACCTCATCCAGAATAATTTTTCTTAGGCTTTGGTGCACAAGTTCATTCCTTCTTCAACAGAAACAGGCACAGACATATATGACGCTCTTCTGTCAGGATTGTACAGAGCTCGAACAGGAATGTATCGCAAGGGCATCGAACAACCTCTGTAGACGCCCTCACTGCTGCATATCAGGAGGTTATTTGCTCATGATAGAGTTGTGGTATTGCGGCATTAGCATGGACGTCCAAATGGGCCATGGCGATTTCCTGAGGGGGTTATACATGTACGATGGGCATTCCACTCCTTTACAACAGTGTCCAGTTCTCCCTGAAAGTTTGTGAAATTTAAATTTAAGTTATAATAACATAATATTGATAACCTTCATACACCAGCCTGAATGCTGTGCATAAATCAAACTTTCCAAGACTAGTTCATGTGGAACTCACCACTGGATCATATGCAGTAAGCAAAGCTCCAGAAGTTATTTGTCTCGAGATCTCCACTGAAATAGCCTTCATCTCTCAGTTGGCAGAAGAGGTCTCCAAAATTGAATGAAGTGTTAGCTAAGCATGCCCCACCAACACTCAATCCTTTGGTTATTATGACTGGTTCCCTGCATGACTCTTGTCTTCAGCAAATGAATCATCATGAACCCTTCTAAGAAACTGCTATATCTGTCGGATGTGAGTGTTTTCAGTTTCAAGATCAGCTCTTATGATTCTTGGGCATCCTATGGTAGAGCGTATCGTGTTTACGTAATATCCCGCAATGACAGCAGGGTCACTGCTCGTTGTGTATGCTTCGAGCCACAAAATACGCCTCGAGGAATTATCAATGGGCCTACATGATCCATTAAAGCAGATTCCGTAATAAGGTTTAAGCTTATCGTAAGCGTCAACGTGCCACATATAATCTGGACTACGAACTTGATATAGTCGTCTTTGCAATCTCTTCCTTGCCCTCGTTTCGACTCCATCTGGATCTAAAATTTCAAGCAACCGGCGTGGTTTCTTATCTGTGTTCAAGCCAGTTGGGATGCGCTTCAGGTGCATCCATCGGTAACCGTGTAAGCTTGCAGGCTTTTGCGACTGTTCTTGTAGAAAACAGGCAACATCTATCACATTGTGATTTTTTTCTACAAAAGAGACCAAGATTTTGCAAGTTTCGACAGAGCGTTCGCTTACCTATTAATACGTTGTGATTAATCAGGGAGATATTAATAATTTCCTCGTAAGCTAGACTCAGAACTGAGGAAGTAGCGTCGAATAAACAGCTCACACTGTCGTCGTGCCACTTGCAGGAACGCCTGACCAATCCATAATGATGAAATAAATAATCCGTGATAACGAATTAATATTCCGTAATGACGAATTAATAATCCGTAATAATGAATTATGAACACATACATGTATATTGCAATGGCATCAATGGGCTTTCGTAGGTTTTCACCACTATAAGATCAAAATGCTAAAGAAAATCATACATTCTGCCTTAACAACAGGAATATTTGCTCAGCATGTAACACTCCTGTTCATATGTACGTTAACAACAAAAGGCTATTACGGTACGCATGCGCACTTGCACCGCGCTGCCTCCATGAGGTGCATGATGTGGCGTGGGCACTCATCCGTCCAGACGACACCATAACCAGCATTGCTGGGAACAATGTTGAATTCGAACTGCGCGACAAAAATCGATGAAAAAGTTTTAAAAAGGTAAAAGACTGTGTACGTTGTTAAATGAAGTCAGATCAAGCTTTAAAAAGCGAAAAGAATTCGTACGTTGTCAAATGAAGCCAGAGCAAAGTACCACGCGTGCATGGAGTGAAACATTATTGCACAGGGGTTAAGTATAGTTGCATGCTATTCGTCACCGTTTTCACAAGGAGCCACTCATGTCAAAAGTAGCATTTTCTCGATCTCAATCACGTTCATGTTACAGGCCAAAATCTCGTTAGGTGCATTTTGTGTTCACGAAAAAAACAAATCTTACTGTCCCTCGTACGCGAACAAAACGTATCGACTGGAAGGGCAGAAAAGTAGGTCAATGGTCAAATAAGATTTTCGTTTTTACGAATAGCCACACATCTCGTCACATACAGTGGCGCGAGTGTGAATACGTGGGCCCCTTCTGTACAATTGGGGGTGCACATACTGAACTTACCCAAATGTAAATGTGTCCACATAATTAAGTGGGGGGGTGCGCATACTGGACTTAACCTTATGTAATAGATGGTCTGAACACTGAGCGCCCAGGGCCGTTTTCCAATACTCAATTCGGCTCCGTTTGAGGCTTCAACTGTTTTTTAACTAGCTGACGTTGAAGCTGTGAGTGCAGTAATTAGTTTAATAGTGCCACAAAACATCAAATAAGATGCAAGAGAGCCAGAAATTACAGTAGTCTAATTTAATTTAAACGCTTCAGGCCCACAATCGGGGATTGGTTTTGGGAATGAAGCCTGAGACGAAGCCCAAGTCGAATATTGGAAAAGGGCACAGGTCCGGGTCGATCTAGCGCGCTAGCTGCTGCGCGCGCACCGTACTTGGGCACAGGCGCACGTGGCTAGCAAGCTTGACGCACATATCTAGCTATAGCTAGCTGTACATGTACAGTACATGACATGTCATACGAACAAGTCTCGCAGCGCCTACACTGTGTATGTGTGTTGGGCCTGTTTTGGCTTAGTTGAAGTGGAAGCTGGCTGGTTGCAGAGCTGGCGACGTGTTTTGGAAACCCAACTTAGGATGCATTTGGATTCATTTGAAGTCAAAAACTCTGCCCTCGAGCGCGAGCTGGAGTAGAAACAGGTCGAGGCAGTCAAACCACCGTTCACTCAGCAGCCGAGTGTGCACAGGTACAGTGGTAGGCTATGTGAGCATGGTGAGTTGAGTTCTTTGAGCCAGGCTTACATCACGTGCTTCGTACATGTATGTACATGTACAGTGTACGTGTTCTGGCATTCACAAGGCCGTTTCAGATTTGCCGTTTACAGCCACGCACCTTGTTTAAAGCGCGATTTTCAAACAAGCATGGTGATCGTAATACTCGGTATGGAAAGAGCTGCATACATGTACATGGACAACACTAATTTATAACAGCCGTTAGAAAGTGATGACGTCATAAAAAGTGAAATTTAGCCATGAAAGTTCTGAAACATTTACATAGAAAACATTAGGCCCTAGCTATCGTAGGTTTTTTCCAATTCCACTTCAGGCAGGTAAAGTAGTAGGCCTACATACTACTTTACTAGCCTCAGGTTTGTGTACAGGGCCTCGAGCATGTGAAGTGTTGTTGGTACATGTACAGGTGTATGTACATTACACTGTAGCTTGGTGGTCATGATTTAGGAACACGAGCTTTCTTGGGTACCTATACCTGCATATTAGGCCTAATGTACATGGGCATGCAAACTCATGTACATGTACACATCAACTTTGTCAATTCGAGGTGTGTGCAGACTTTGGATTCCATTTTTCAGATGCCAGTGATCATGACAGATGTTTGTATGCTCCTGATAACACATACTTACATGTGCACTGGGGAGGCACATGTACATGTACTAATGCTTATTTCAAGCAGAGGGGTATCAGAATATTTTTGGATCATCCGTAATTTGGCACCCTGTCTGAACTTATCCTTGGTTGTTGGATTCTGTTGGGTTAATGGAAGTGACCTGGAACTGTGGCACAGGCTGCATTGAATAATGTTGGTTACTTCCCATTTAGCATTTGGTCTCAACCAATTGACCCATACGCAAGCCCTAATTATTTGTTCCGTTTAATAGTGCATTATCCAAAAAATCACAGGATGGCAATAGACAAGATACAAGTACATGTGTAAGAGCTAATCATTGTACAATTTCAGGTATGGGAAAGGGCTCATTTCTTATCAAATTTTAAAACTGAATTGATTTAAAGTCATAGAATACTTATTTGCCGGTTTATTGTTTATTTTTTGTACATTTCCAGGCGACCAAGTCTGAACAACTTCAGGATGTAAAATTACTGGTACACCAGCAAAAACTGAAGACACCCCAATTATGCCCCAAGATTCACTGACATTGCCAACATCCTCAGTCGAGTTGCATTTCACCAGTTCAAGCCATCAAGGAGGTTTGCCAGACATCGAATGGCATCTGCTGGTAGTGAATAGGTACAGTTGTTTTGTACGTAAACATCTACCACATTCTGTACTTGAAATGAAAATACCCAGGTACCCGCAACCCAACAGCTGATTACAGGTACCCAGTTCCATTTAGTAGATTTTTTTGTACCCAAATCTGCCACTGTAAACATAAACACAATATTTCCGAAAGGCAAGCAACCTTTTCCTTTGCTTCCTTACTTACCGTAATTTTCGGATTATAAGCCATCTGATGTACATGTACAGTGTATAAGCCACAGCATGCAAAAATTGGCAAATTAAGATTTAAAGTCGGCGTATACATGTACATGTAAGTTGCACCACCAGCGTATAAGCTGCACCACTGCGCTGACGATCCAACCACAAAGGTCATCGTGCTGCATTCTGAAGCGCCAATACAGCATGTACAGTACGTCAGTGATTCCACTACATGTGCAATACTAATAAAAGTAAGCAAAATGCAAATGAGTGTCACCATAAAAAGTGAGTTTAAGTCTTCAAATTTAATACTTTTTGCAGGTTGCATGGTGGTCCTGCACTAGCCATGCACCAGCTCTTGCCTTTTTTCCAGCAGCCAGCAAAAGTTAACATCGTCGGGGACGTACAATCAAATCTTGGTAACTTGAAGTTGGGTAAATCGAAAGATTGTTATATCTTGTAGGGCGACCATGTCTTGCCAAAAGAATAGGCTTTTGTATAAAAAATACCTCTGTGAATGTCCACGACACTGCATCTGGTTATCTTGAGGTTTTGTGATGCTGATCAAAAATACACCTCCAGATCGCCTCAAAAATGAAAAATCCACCACAAGACCTAATTGGTTGGAGTCATTACTGTAATCACTTGTGCTCATGCATGCTGCATGTGGCATGGCAAACACACTCAGCACCTACCACCGTGATAGCACAGATCCTGTTTTCAGGCTGGCCTGACTGCTACCGCAGACCCGTTCATGGACAGTCCAGTCACTGACTGACTCTTTCCGATAACCACGTGACCACAGAAAGTGTTGTCGTCAGAAACCCAAGCGAAAAACCCCAAAATTCTGTGGCATGTCACACTGAACACAACCGGCACAAAGACAAAACCTGTCACACAGAGGTACACCTTTGAAGCGGTTGATTTTTATTTAGTGGTAGAAAAATCTTCAGGTTACATTCATAAGAAAGTCCTAGTAAAATGCTTATTCATTTGCAAAAAATACATGATGAGAATTAATAAAAAGTTGGAAAATAGTCACTCAGAAATGTTGCCACAGCAGAGCAAGTAAAGTTTAAGATTACGTACTCATTTTATGAATGTTTTCCGTGACTCCAGGACTCAGGGAATTCTGTTAATAATTCGAAATCTGGACAACTCAAATTTTTATTTATTCTCGGAAGTTCAAATTTTCAGATGTAAATAGCTACCAACAAAAAGATGACTGCACTATGGGCACATGTTGCATGTGGTCTGGCCGCGGCTTTTGTGACTGATTTTATCCTTCAGAGTTTGCCATATAAGTCGCCTGGCGTATAAGCTGCAGAGACATTTTTCAGCATGAGAATCAATGTCGAAGTGGTGGCTTATGTTCCGAAAATTATGCTATTTGCCAATAAATTCTCGGGAAAAAATCTGAGTGAATTATGTTTTGAGTATGGATGAATGCAGGACAACAGGAAGGGGTAGAAAACTAGTGCCTCGATAAAAGGGCAGGAGGTAAAGGGGGCTGTGTAAAAACACATGGTTAATTCAGGAACAAAGAGAGGTGAGGTAGGAAAAGATAACAGAATAATAACATGAGAACGTAGTGGACCCCAATTTGGGGGGGATTGTCTGCAGACAAAAGTAAGGGAGAGAAAAGAGTGTTAAGTACATGTGGTACTTGCCTCTTAGATGTTCAGGCCATGGGGTTGTATTGTCCGGGGTTGTTCGATCCAAGGCTTCTATGTATATGTACATGCTGAACACTGCACACCCAGTTATTTTGCCTTTTAAGAAAGACTCTGCTAGGATCGAAACATCAGTCCCTCCTACCGGTACTTATTTGATATGTTTTTTAGATCACTGGGTAGCAAGCAGTTTGCAGTCAGTTTTTATATCCTAAAATTTAATCAGATAGTTTAGTCAAAACTAGATTACAAAAAAATTGGATTCAGGTCCCAGCCGTACATATGTAGGTTTGCAGTACTGTATTTATATTCTGATAACCCCATCATCTCCCATACATATGAGCTTATTCCATTTTGGGTTAATTTAAAATTTTTGAAACTCTTTAATTTCCATATTTTACATATATTTGGGGCCCCTAAACATGCTAAAAATATAATAAAAATAGTTCTGCTTGTCCAGGAAATGGCATCCACAAACTGTTCAAAGATCAAGATTTTTTTTTGAGGGGGAATAGCATATAGCCAGTAGCAAATGGCACCTGTATGAGTCTCCACTCTTGAGTCATACCCATTAATTTATTCACACATACAGATTTGAGCTTGTCTGTAGAGTTCGAGAGTGTAAGTGGGGCTTGGTAGCAAATGGCAGGTTCCTCAAAATATGGACCATTAGACAATGTTCAACTTTGGGGTTCATTTTCCCTGAAGTGAACAGCAATGAATTAATTCCCAATGTCTGTAATGAGGGAAGTCATGGCTGATATTTGGAACAATGATGACTTAGTCTATCTTTCAACTTATTTGTAGTTAATTAATCAAAGTCTCGAACGTCAGCATTTTTGATGGACGTGAACAACCTGTTGAAATCCTAGCCATTAAATTTTACCTAGGACTGATAATCCCCATGGTTATTTTACAGAGATTTATATGTGGTGAAAGGTAATAATGTTTACACATATTAAAACCATAATCACAAAATTAAAAGATAATACGTTTTGCTGCATCTTGGCCTGTTTGACCTTTGACATCAACCCAGATAGTGCACCATCTTTTTCATTGGATGTTCATGAGCCCCTCCATGGAATGGCGACACTCTGGGTTTTTTCTCTTCAGGCCAAGGTTTCTTGAAAGAAAATCGGTCATACTGAATGATGTTCCACAAGAAAGACATCCAAGACAAAAAATACCGGCATGATTCATGATGAAAATCTAATGCGCAAAGTTAATAATTTTAATGTAATTTTCAGCAGGGATATCTCCAAAATAAACAGCTAAGTGAACATTATGCATTGAACTTTCAAGCACTACATGTGACAGTGTTTTCGGCATTCTTGAACGTCATGCATTCTTTGTCAAAATTCTTGAATGTCATCAAAATTCTGTCAAATATGACGTTCGCAATGAGCATATTGTACTCATTATACATTATTGATGCAGCCAAACTTAAACATAATTTTCGGTGGTTGAAAGGTATAAGACCTGGCATATATGCGGGTATAGTGAGAGTGATTATAAACGGCAAGAGAATGAAGAGAGCCAAACATCTCACCTTTTTGTGCTCAATTCAATTTTGTGCTCTTTTTTCATGGCTTATATTTTTTTAACCATATTACGCCAGGGGCATTTATGTATGTTGATGATGCTGGGATCATTAATTTTCATATTTTGTCTGTTTTCAAAATTCTTTAAAAATTCATATTTTCATTTACTGGACATTTAACACCCACACGAAGGACTGTCTGGTTTTTACTCTAATCTGACAGACAACATCTATTGATCCTGGAGTATTTCAGCCAGGCCTGCTGCCTTGTAAACAGAGCCCAGATTGTGCAGTGTTACGTAAATTTTTTTTGTTCACGAAACTGGCACAGTGCGCCGCTGGCCTCTTTTCAATAGGGGCCAGGTTAGCATGCAGTTTTACTGTGTGGCTCATCGCTGCTAGTGGTTTTGTCCCTGGTGGTAATCCGCTCATTGTGAATGCCCCAGACTGTGGTATACTGTTTCAAAAAAATGTTGGATTTTCTCCACTATTGAGAGTGAAAAAATGTTGGTAATCCCCAGCAGCCTGGTCTTTTGTTATGAGTACGGTCTTTTGATTCTGATTTTGGAGACCCTGGCTACGCATATAAATATGTTCCGAAAACTGGGCTCCAGGGGGCAAGTGGTTAAAATTATTTCTGAGGTGCTTTAAAATACATTTGTACATCAGTTGGAAAATATACTGAATTTTCCGTGTTGAGAGAAGTTTTGAAATCAAGTCCTCTGGTGCAAACACTTTGACGTACATGTAAAACTTAAAATGAATGCAACGGCAACTGGTAGTTGACCAAATGTCCATCAGATGTACACATTATGCCTTTTTATCCCCAAATAATCATTTTTATAAATCTTAAGGTGCTAATTTGTATTTTACATGATCAAAGTCCCTCTTTTAGAAGTTTTCATAAATGACATCTCGAGTTCCATTTTTGTCCATTTTATGAAGAACATGCCAAATACTGGTTGCATTCTGTGACACTGTCTTTTAGTTTCAGAAAAGTGACAGTGCCAAAAAGAAATGACACATACATGTACGAGTATCTTTAACAAGTGACCACCAAGGGTTGGCATTTTAAAGGCCAACTCTAAAAGTGATCACTGTGATGGTATCTTGTCATTTGAAGAAGTCTTTCTTTGGGCTTGGAAGAGTGCCGCACCAGGGAAGAAGTCATTCTTTGGTCTTGGAAAAGTAAGGCACCAGGGAAGAAGTCATTTTTTAGGCTCGGAAAAGTACCGCACCAGGGAAGAAGTCATTCTTTGGGCTTGGAAAAGTACTGCACCAGGAATAAGTTCTTATGCGGGATAGTTCCATCTGAAATGACTTAGCTAACTTTAGTGGCTGTAAACCCTCATCAATGGTGATCGTTAAAGCTTTGATAGTTTTCACACTGTATTTTATTCTTCAGCTTCCAATCTAAACTGTGACTGGTAGAGTAGAATGTCCAAAATTTGCAACAGTTCTATGAAGGAATTCATGTTATGTAGCATTCTTTGGGGTTTCTTTGACAGGATTCACGACACATCTCATCTACAGTTTCTACATCTGTACACTGAAGGGAGTTCTACCCCTGTAAGAAGTCTAGAGTAGCTGAAAACCTTAGGCCTCTCAGTGGAAGATGCACTTGTTAATCAAGGTACTAGAACCACAAAGGATCTCTTTTATGGTAAAATCTTGGGATTGTACCTGCACAACTTGAAATATTTGTACTCACATGGGTGCATATAATAGAATTGTTTTAACTCGGGGGGGGGCAACTTGCCTTTTCCTCCCACAAAGCAACTTGCATTGACCCATGGTGTGGTGAAAGTATTATGCGTGCATGATAAAAGAACAGGAACAACATGAAAGAGCTGGGCATCAGTGACACCTGCATTGACATAAACGACATTGGACCTTGACATCTTGACCAACATGAAATTGCCCAAACTATCACAACTGTACGTGCTAGTTTGTTTACAGATTTTGCTATGCTTTTCTGCACAGATTTTATGTATTAACTTTGGAGTCTGAGCGTAAGGAAGTGTCCAATGAATGGTTGGACATACACTGAGCTCAAGCAGTGAACTCCATTCCCTCTACTGTATGGTCATGTCTTACAGAAACTTCTTGGTGCATTGTTAGGGAAGCCATTTTACATGTTTTGGTGTTAAATCTGAAATTTAGAATTTTGAGCATTTGTACGATGCAAACAAAACTGTATACGGGTCATTCCATGAAGTTGGATAACAAAGTGTGACAGAGGAGCTGAAATTTCAAATTCCCTTATGTGTCATTTTCCCCCAGGTTTTGACACATTATCAACTGTGTTTCTCATAACTAACTTCTGCAGCAACTAAGGCAGACAAGGAAATACTGTACATGTACAATGTACTTGGGTATTATGCGACATGCAGCTGGTTGTGGATGTAACATGGAAATCACAGAGTTTCAGTGCACAGTGAAGAAGTCTCCAAGTTGCAGTATGTTATAAAGACTTTTTTGTCATCATGGTTATGGCAAGTATCCCAACAAAAATAAAACAATAAAGAAGGGAATATACTATAAGAACGAATGTCAGGGTATGTACATGTACTCGTTTTTGTAGAATTTTTCAGACTAGCTACAGTGCAGTTGGGCTGAGCAGTTTTCCATATTCGGTCGGCGTGGTTGGCTTAGCAAACTCTGTGGCCACATACAGCTTCATGGATGGCAATATTTGTTTTGATCTTTACCATGCTTGTCCCATCTGAGCGATCAGCTTCATTTCAATATAAATTTCACTTGCCCAAACCCTGGTTTAGTTGCTCATTCCTCCATCAACTAATCACCATTGATAAAATTGCTCACTACAATACCACATGAATATACTTAACCCCCCACTGTTGTGTGTATGCATCATTCATACAAGTTCGGGCAACAGCTAATTCTCAACCACGCAATGATTTCACCTGGTGTCTATGCAAAAAGTACACACACAAGTACCAGGCAAAATTCACCCGTGTTGAAGTCACAGCCACATGCAAAACAATCTTCGAGCTTCTGACTGTCAAAGCTCCGCTGCGCGCATGGGTGCAGTAACCAATGAAGTTTGGTACCCAGACACAAGGGTACAGTGGGCTCTCGTTATTACAAAATCAGCTAGAATGAAATTCTGGTTATAACAAATAATGTGCACAATTCTATGGGAAGAAAATCTATTACAGCGAAATCGCATTGTACGAAATTCCTTTTACAACAAAGGGTTTCTTTGACCCCGTTGCCTGAAAAACCATTGTTTATGATCCATTTATAACGAGCATTTCACAAATCCTGGATTGCGAAATTGAAAGCAGAGTTAGTCATAAACAGGTGCATGTCTCTCGTGTCAGTTGTTTAATCTTGCCGACTCAAAATCTGTTCATGGGAGGTGATAATTGGTAGGACTGCACAGTCGCTAATCGCCATATCAGCTTCCAACCACAGACAGTCATTAAAGAGTGCCGGCGATGCGCGGAAGACATCAAAATGATTGTCATCAAAGTGCACCTGTGACGTGTGCCAATCATCCGCGTCACGCACTCACAGCCCCGGGTAATTCATTTAAAGTTAACGACAGCCCTTTTACAATAGGCCTTTCAAGCTTCTAATTACTATAGGCTTTCATAAGTAAAATGGGAATCTTTTTGGCAAGAGTGGCATGTTTCGGATTTAAGGGTTGTAGATTTTGACAAATGATCATACAATTATCATACTTCCACTGTGTCAACATGACCTCTATCAAGATTAAACGTAAGGGACTGTTCCTCACCACCAAGATGGAAATTATCAAAGCAACGGAAGCCGGGCCCAAGAAGGCTGACATCGCACGAGAGTTTGGAATTGTTCCAAGCACATTGTCCACAGTCCTGAAGAACAAGCATGACATCATGACGAAATTCGAGTTGTCCACGTTTGAACCCTCAAGACAGCGATTCCAGAACGCAGCCTATGGGGATGTCAAGGAGGCCCTTCTCCGCTGGTTGTAAGGAAACTGCTCCAGGAATTTACCAATCAACAGCCCTCTTCTCCGCGAGACAGCAGACCAGTTAGCGAAGCTTTTGGGCCGTGAGGCATTCTTTGCAAGTTCTGGCTGGCTTTCCCGTTTTAAGGAGTGACACGGCATCACGTTTGAGCGGGTGTGTGGGGAGAGCAACAGTGTCAATGAGGGCCTCATTGACGAGTGAATCAAGAACACCCTCCCGAGTCTTCTTCGTGGATTCCTGCCCAAGGACATCTTCAACGCGGATGAAACAGGGCTATTCTTTCGTTTGACTTCTGACAAGATGATGGCATTCAAAAGGCGAGCAATGCCACAGCGGCAAGCAAAGTAAGGAGTGGGTCACTGTCCTCTGTGCTAACATGGATGGGTCTGAGAAGATGAAGCCGGTGGTCATCGGGAAGTTCAAGAACCCAAGATGTTTCAAGAATGTCAACTACCTTCCAGTGACGTACTGTGCTAACCGAAAAGCCTGGATGGTCTCAGACCTGTTCAGCGAATGGATACATCGCCTGGACCATCGCTTTGCAAGACAGAAGCGCAAAGTCCTGATGTTTGTCGACAACTGCACGGCACATCCTCACATCACCAACCTCGATGCCATCACCCTGCAGTTCCTTCCTCCAAACACCATGTTGCACCCACAGCCTATGGACCAGGGGGTCATCGTGAACTTCAAAGTCAACTACCATCGCCTGCTGCTCCAACATATTCTCCAGAGCTATGAGTCAGGTGCCACTCCCGAACCTGTCAATGTGAAAGAAGCCATAGAGATGACTGACTTGGTATGGAGAAACGTCAAGGTCGATGGCATCGTCCGCTGTTTTGCCAAGGTAGGTTTCGTCTCTGGCCGTCCCGATCAAGATCACGAAGTTCAAGATCCAGGTCAAGAACAAGATCAAGACTGGCCTGATAACATCTGGAGCCGTTTAGCCCAGCATATCCAGCTACCCCAGTCCTTCAACCAGTACCTGTAGTCTGATGCCGGTATTCAATGCAGAGATGAGCCCACACATGATGAGAAAGCTGACACTGTGGCAGCTGAGAGATCTGGCGAAGTGGCAAAAGGAGAAGCAGAAGATAAGGGAGAGGAGTAGCCACCGACCTCTGAGGATCAAGGGCTAAGAAATGTCAGCGAATGTCTGGCACCGATGCAGCATGTTTGACACTTCCTCTGCAACCAGCCTGACATGGATGATGAAGTCTATGGCCATGCAGCAAGAGTCCTCCAATACCTGTCCCATAGGCAGCAAGACAAGTTTGCACAGTGCGGAAGATAACAGATTTCTTCAAGCTGTAACTTCCAGACAAATAAAACCCCACGGCTCTTATCAGAGCCACCACATTTTCCAAAAAGAGATAGATATGCTCCTGTCAAATAAAGGTCCAGAACCCCTTACCCCCCACCCCCCGAAAAAGGAAAGAACCCTTCCCTGCTCCCAATTAAGAATAAGGCAATAAAATATATTTTTTAATAAAACAAAATTATAAATCTAAATCCTCGCACAGCAGAAGATAACAGTTTTTTTCAAGCTGTAACTTCCAGATAAATAAAATCCCATGGCTCTTTTCAGAGCCACCACATTTTCAAAAGAGATAGATATGCCATAACAGGCGATAAAATATATTTTGTATTCAAACAAAATTACAAATCCAAACCCCCGTAAGGCCAGAACAAAATGCACTCCCTTCCCAGTTCCGATAAAGTATGCCCAAATGCAGTCACCTCTCTGCAGTGGCCCATGAACAGAACAATTGCAACCCCAGAAACAAAATTATTCCCAATTCCGAGAAAAATTAGGCAGTGTACAACCCAAATAAATGTGTTCTTTTTAGGGACGAATGTACATGGAGATTGCCTACAGCCTGAGGCTCAAATGTCACAACAGGACTGATCACCCAACACTGAATTATTCATATTGCTGTGAAACAACAGCCGCACCTGCCAATGAAATTGTGCTCACGTGAAGTGTATTTTGCAATGCATAGCTATCCAATCACAATGCCAGATCGCGGCTGTGCCACGCTGCAGGAATAGGTGCAAAATGTGAACTCAAAGACGTGATCAATGGTGATTATGCAGCCAGTATTGAAAAAGAAAGACGAAAAATAACATAGAAACGTCTCTCCGAGACACAATTTGTGCTGGAGAGACTACTTACATGGATGGGGCTTCAGTAGATAGGCCTTCAATTCAAGCAGGTATGCTGTTGTTACGTTGGCATCGTTCTCATCCGTTACGATCGACAGTCTTTAAAAATCCCTGTCACGATGCTTTTATTCCCATTTTCTCTCACTTGTACATCAAATACATTTTCATATAAAACATTGAGTTTTATTATTCTAAACACACAACGTACATTTGTTTCATTTATTATAACTGAGAGATCTTTGTTGACATCATGTCGTTCACGTGTGTGCATGTCAGGTGCATGTACGTGTACATGTACTTGTATAGTAACATAATAGGACTATTCGTACATGTGCGTGTACTTCGAAGCTATTGCATGGAGCTCCGCATACAGCGAATTTCGGATACAACTAACATTTTCTCTGGGTCCCGCAGATTTTGTAATAACGAGAGTTGACTGTATTTTACAGTTTATTTGTGGACGTATCTGCCTTTGTGTTGAAGGTTGCCCTGCTAAATGTATATCGTGCTTATAAATGCACGCGAGTTTTTACATGAACAAGTGAGTAACGATGCAAAAAATCATTGTACACCACATACCTGTTTACTTTTTACATGTACCACTATTATAAGCTTTTGTGAAGAGGAAAAGCAAATCAAAAGTAAATTTGCAGACTGCTAATCTTGGCCACAAAAAAACGGACACATTGTCTGTAACGACAACTAATTTATTATAATTTTTTCATTATATCAGTGCTTTCGATATATCGATTTCAATTTTAAAGTGATATCGGTCATATTGATATCAAAGCAAAATTGATATATTGGATATTATCGAAATATTGACAGACCTTAGCGTAACACTTCCGTATTACAGAACACCTGTTACAAAACACCAAGGGTTGTAAACGCAACAGAATGGCTGCAGAAACCACGCTTGGCATTCTGACAAGAACAAATTATTTCTTTTGAACTGAAATACAGCAGCGAATGCCGAGTGTGGAAAAAGTACATGTGGGTTTTAGTTTTCAAACCCTGGTGATGTAGTTAGCAATTATTTTCCAGGTCCAAAAACCAAACTCCTGTTTCTGACATAACGCTACTATTTGTGTATGGATGGAAAGTAGCCATGTGATGTACTCCAAAGTCTTCAGACTGTGGGCAAATAACCAGGCATTTTCCAACTTCATGGAATGACCCTAACCAAACAGGAAATCAACTGGGTTTGTAATCAGAAAAGGGCGAGTTTTTACAGGAGCCTCCTGCTTTAACCCTAACCCCCTAGGCTCCTGCACTAGAAAGCATACTGAACCTCAC